TACACCATTTTAGGTCACATGAACCTTGTACTTTTTAATTTACTACAGTCAGCAATAACTACATGGTACTTGCACAAATGTATGGGGTATGAAGGACACTAGCGCCACTGATGTGTAGTAATAGGTGTTTGAAAAATATGTAGATCTCATTAAGGTAATTTTCTTTGTTGAAGAATGAACAGACTTCAAGGATGATTTCCCCCCTCTCTTGATTTGTGCAGAATATTGACAAGATAATGCACAAAACAGCTCTCTGGAATCAGCTTCATGCTGAGTATGATGCAGCATGTTACAGATAAGAAATTTGCATGTAAAAATGTATATAGATTTAGCAATAGAGTATAAACATATTGCTGACTCACTGTACCTCCTTGGCATTATGGAACCTGAAGGTTCATCACATACTAACACAGAAACTAATTATTAGATCTGCCTTGAGTCTGATTCAATTTAAGTCAGCTGACTGAACTTTCATAGCATTAATTTAAGTATTATCCTGTTGTCTGTGCTGTGTTTTCCAGATGACCTTCCAGGAGAGAGAGCTAACAAAGTTTTGCTTGAATTTTATGTTTTTTATGTATACACATCGTTCACACCCCGTCTCAGTCATGATTTAATTACCCTTTGGAGCATGAAATTCATCTGATTAATGTTGTATTACATCATCCTGGCATTGGTTGAGTACATGATGTAAATGTATAACACACACTAGTGTATGCATCACTTCCATAGCCTGTTAGTTAGAACACCACGTAGTCCATATTTTTATATACTCATATAATGTATTTATGCCATGTTTCGGTCACATGGGGCTATTCAGAAAGTAGCCTCCATTTGTTTTAGGCAATTGATATAGGAACGGGGGAAAGCTCACACATGCAAGGTAACATCACATGACTCATTGCCTTGTAAACCATCTCATAACTGGTCACCTAGTGTTTGTTCTTGTCTCTACAGAGTGAGTTAATGATGTGTCCTGCAATTGATAATCCTGCCACCTGTGAAATTCATGCTGTTATCTGTTTTCTTCATGCTAAAAACTTGAGTGCTGCAGAAATCCATCATGAATGATGTGCAGTTTATGGCCAAACTGTAATGAGTGAAGGAACTGTAAGACAGTGGTGTAGAATGTAAAATTTGAGGTTTTCACAGTGGTGACTGTGAAGAATGCTGTCTTCTGGAATGTGACACTGTGTAGTTATTTTGCCCCCCCCCCCCTGACACAATCAATATATCTGCTGGCCCATCTCCCTAGACCCTTCCCCTCTCCTCTCTATTGATTTCTCCCTTCCTTTCCTGTTCTTATTTAGCTGGTTGTCTTGACTGGCACTCAGTCTACAGACACCTGCTCACACTGATTCATTGCTCACAGATTTCTTATACCCTGAAGACAGAAGTGATACGTTCCTCTGCAATGTCTGGTCCCCCCCCCCCTCCGCTTAGTTGGAGGTGGAATCCAGCTTGGTTCACTCGGCACGGTGGTCACTGATTGGCCTATTGTACCTGCCCCGGTTGATTATGATGGAGAATTTGGTGGAATGAAGATTGGCAGGGAAAACCGAAGTACTCAAAGAAAACCCGCCCCAGCACCACTTTGTCCACCACAAATCCCATTTGACCAGACCCGGGATCAAGCAACGTCGGTTAACAAAATATCTACATGGTGCCACATCCCAGAAGATGGCATTCTTCAATGGTGTAGAATGTTCAAACATGGGTGGGCAAACAAATGTTCATGATGAAGAGCACAGTGGTCGGCCATCTGTAGTGAGTGATGATCTTGTTCAAAGTGCTGACCAAAACATTAGTTTTTTTTTGTTTGTTTTTTCAAAATTAGCCATGAAATATTAAATACAGTGTAGCAGTTTACTCATATACAGATCTCTCTCACACACACACACACACACACGTCTGCATGCGGCTGAAACATGTTAAGTATGTATGAAATTGTGGACGGAGTGTTGTTCTAACTAACAAGCTATGAAGGTATTGCATTTACAAGACTGTATTACACATTTATGTCAAGGGCTCATCGAAATTATGTTTAAAAATTCAGTTGTAACTTCAGAGAAAAACACTACTCTGTTCCAATGAACAACTGGTCGGTGCTATTTAGGGCAATAATTGTTGTATATTCTGACAATTATATGACACCAGTAAATACACTGAGAGTCTTTGAATGTTAAAGTAGGTGCTACATATAGTTAGCACTGCTTTAAAGGGTTAAGTTAGTAGTATAATTCATAATGTAATTTCTTGCATTCTGCAGTTAGGTCATACCTCTTCAGTTTACATGTTCTGCATAACACTTTCTTATTGCTTAACTTTGTGTTCTCTCATCAGGTGGGAGACAAAATATCACACACTTGACAGTTTGGTTTTGCATTGTGCAAATGTGTATATATGTTAAAGGTGAACTACATACAAAGTAAGGAATTCAAGGATGGGGTGAACATAAGAAGAATTGAGGGAAAGAACAGAAAGACAGAACTGCTTCTTAAACTGGGGGGGGGAATGTAATTATTAAAATTTGTGAAGTGTACTTTACACATTACTAGAGTTCTTTTATAGACCAAAAACAGACATTTTTGGTACATGAGTTTCATTCTTTTGATTAGTAAATGCTGATGTGTCTCCACTTTGGGACAAATCTATTTGCATAATTCATGATCAGACTTAATAGCATTTAGATCTCATGTATGGAAAACTTTGTTTTTCATAGCAGTTAAATGTTCTCCATAGCAGTTGAAGGATAACTGTTGGTGAAAAAAATGGACAAAGTTCTTTAATATCACAGAGGTAGGTAAACATCTCGCTAATCAGTATAAACCAAGTGAGCTGGCATAGTGGTAATTCTTTAGACTCGTGTTTGGAAAGACGCTCAATTCTATTCTCATCAGAGATACTGGCTCTCATGTACTGAGGCATTAGTGTGAAACTGTAATAACATGCTTGTGAAAAAATAAATTTGGGGAAGTTTGTTTTTTCAGAATTGTGAAAAATGCAAGATCCAGTTATGGTTTGTCTCACAGTTGTAATACTGTATGAAGTAGCTTCATGGGAAAAGTAATATAAAACAAAAGTGGGTATCTCTACTCAAATTGAGTACATGTATTCTCCAAATAGGTTTTAACCTTGTGCATACTTCATTGGCCCTAATGCAGATACAGATCTACTGTTGCAAGCTAGTTACACTGTGGATATCACACTGCACAGCATCAGAAATTTCTTACAATTTATTTAATTAAATATACAGAATATTGAAGAGGGTTTGAAATAAAAGTTGTAGATCTTAATGAAATCTGTATTTCATATTGCATTCTTTTCTTGTGTGTGAAGAGCAATTATTGGGGATAAATTAATACAATTTGACTTCAGTTCTGATATTGTGATGGTGGGATGTACACGATCTTCCTTCTGTGGGTTTATTATGTGTGAAGAACTTGTTATCCCCCATTATCAACTAACATCATATCTGGGATATGGTCAGCCACTCAGAAAAGCAAATGTATCATGCCTCAAGAGACATTTTTAAGTTCAGATTTAAATATTGAGTACTGACATGGGAGGGAGGAACTTCAGTCACGCCAAGTACTAGAAACACAACTTGATCCATTGTGTGCCTCCATTGTTGCTTGAAATCTGTAAGAGCCTTAACCTTAGCTATAGCCAAAACTCCTTAGGCGGAGGCCCTCCTAATATCCTTCGTCTGTACATCAGCAGTGTCAGAGGTCATAGATCTATGCCCAACCAAGCTTGGCATTGTCATAATGTCCTCTTCTTTTAGACTGCTAGTAGCTTCCCTCTGTCGTTCACTGACAGGGACAGCTGAGCCTTACCACTGGTGCCAGCCAGACCCGCAACCAAGTTCAAGCCAAGCAAAGCCCACAGTTTCCTTTTCTAAGTTTACACTTAGAATCAGTATACACCAAGCAAGATAAAAAAATTAAGATATTATGTTGGTAATTGGTGAACAGCATTCAGGTTATAATTTAACAAAGTCTTGAAAAGGTTAATAATGAATAACATGCACCTTTCCTTATGGCATTCCCAGTAGAGAATTTACACAATCTGTAGAAATAGGAACATCTGTCTCCTAGCCAATAGTCTAGATGCAATTAAAGATTTTGACAACTGCCAGATCAACTCAAAACTGGTCTGGGACTGCCATCAGTCATTTGTAAAACTGGGTGAAAATAACATTCGAACTGATATGGAGACCAGGTAACAGGGCTATTAGGGGTAGTGAAAATGCTGATCAAGTAGCAAGGTTGGGACCTGAACATTATTTTATAGGACATGAACCAATGTGTGGCATCTCAGCAGGGATTGCCAAGAAGGCTGTCAAGGATTGGACAAACAGAGACTGTAGAAATTACTGAGAGTCTGTAATACAACTTGAATATGCAAAGGGTTTCCTATGAGGATACTCTTATCAGAAGAAGCATGAATATATTGAAACTAAATATAAACAGAACTACTTACAGGACACTCACCTGAAAGGACACCTTTTTCAAACTGGGATTGACCAGCAGTCCCACTTGCAAAAAGTGTTTAGATAAAGATGAATCAACCACACATATCCTGTGTAATTATGATGCTGTAGCTTACTTAAGATGTCACTTTGGACCGTTTACTTTATGGAACCAGGCAACTGCCAAGACAGTACACTTTGTTCATAGAGTAGGATTGTTGGGGTGCTGAACAGAGGGGAATGTTTGATGCTCATGGTGCAAGGTCTGGTTTAAGCCCACCCCTCTTATTCCTTCATTTCAACAACATGATATAGTTTATCTTCTGCTTTAGGAATTGTGCTTGTTATCAATTAAGAAATCAGATTAGTACAGTTACAAATTGAGTGCAATGGATATCTTTGCAAAAATCATTATTATAATGTGAAATAAAAAGTGCCACAGACTATTTAAATATATTCATGTCCTTGGAAACAAGAAAGCATCTGAAATAGGAGATGTTGCTAATGAATATCTCTTACTTTACAGGTTGAATCCCTGGCACTACCTATGATGGCTTCAGGTTCTGTGGTGAAAGTAACAGCAGATTTCCATGCCGTCCGGTGTGATGAACTGTCAGCACAAAGGGGTGGGACTGTTCAAATACTGACATTCTCCCCTGTACGGGGTTACTTAGTACGCAGATATGGTGGAGATGGGGATGGAGAGGAAGGTTGGTTACCAGCTCACATTTTACCTCATCATCACCATAACCATCACCACCACCACCACCACCATCACCCAGGAAGTGATGTGACTTTGCCTCGTAAACCATGGTCCTTCCGGTTTCGCAAGCCAAACTTCAGTGGTGTTGGACGAAGAGTTGAAAGGAGATCATTCGATGGTGGCATGGGTGCACCTCTGTTGCCTCTGTGTGGTGGAGATAACAAGTCACTAATACCAGAGTGTGCTCCTCCTCCACCAGAGTTTCAGGATAGGCTTTGTGATGTGAGTGTTCCATGTGGTGAGAAAGTGGAACTAAGGTGCAGACTTCAGTGTCATTCTCACTGTGAAGTAGGAGACTTAACTGTAACATGGAACAAGTGTTTAGGCGAAAGTGGAGAATCATCTATGATACAGAATGGTGGAAGGTACTCAATCAATATACTGGATGATGGTTCTGTGTGTCTTATTATTGAAAATACCCAACTAACAGATGCTGGAGAGTATTCCTGTCTAGCCTCAAATGATGCTGGCAGTGCTGTGACTTCTGCATGGCTCTTTGTAACAGGTTGGTTGTAAAGTTGTTATACATTACACACATTTTATGATTCCCTTAAAATGGTTCATTTGTTTCACTGAAATTGTGTTTGATGTCGTCCATCATTTGAGGTATGTTAAATGTACACAGTGTTTCAGGAATTTGCTCTGCTCCTGGCTCTCTGTGTGACTGTAGTATACTGATACATAGTTTTGTTGCTCCCACCTTCTTTTTTTAGTATTATTGGGGATTCGGTCAATTTCCTCTTCAGTTTTTGTAATTTCATGAAATGTTACTACCTAGGAACATAAAGATTTAAATTATTTTTTAAAGCATTGTTAATTCATGCATATCAGTCTGTTCAGTCAATTCTTATCAGTACCCTTACATAATACTGGGAATTTTGTGTTATAAAAACAATTATTAAATTCAGGCAGATGAGTTGGCCCAAAACTCTGAAGTTACAGTTTTGGAATACAGAATACAATAAAAGAAATAATTATATGTGATTATGTTTGCCAGTAAATTTAATAATTCTGGTATATTATAAAATGATGTATTTTGAACATACCATTTCTCAGGTTATATGAATGTTTGGTACAGAAAGTAGAAAGTAGAAAGTAACTGTGTTTACTGATATTTGACACTCCTACATATGAAATTGTAAAATGTAATGCAATATATCCACATTGCCTATATTCCTTTATAGTGTAATGTATCTTTATTCTTACAGTATTGTGTCTTGCCTGAACACAGTACTTCATTTGTTATGCAGGGGATATTTTGTTATATATGGAGTTTTACCATAACTTCAGAGTTTATTTACTTTCATGATTTGTCAGCAATGTCCATGAAAGTCAAATTTTTATAGTTACAGTTTATAGAATATGCAAAAGCAATTTATTATATTACAGGGCACAGTATTACTTCATTATAATTGAATTTGGCAGCTGATTTAGGTTTAAGGTACAATGTGAAGCAGATTAGCACAGGAGTACAAACTACAGTTACAGCAATTATTTGTCTCAGGTTTGATATGTGCCCAACTGCACTATTTTACTGAGAGAACTGTTCCAGGTTCACAGTGTAATCAGGATGGTGCTCCTACAGTACAGCTGCTGTCTGGCTCAAGTGTACTTGTGGAGTGGAATGGAGCACCCAGTGGTCATTACATCCTAGAATGCTGTCAACGTGGCTCTGGTTCATGGGTAGCTGTAAGAAATGGACCTGTGCGAGGCCTATCCAGTGTTGTGGATGGACTGGTTCTGGGTGAAGAGTACAGTTTTAGAGTGAATTCAGGACCTCCATCTACACCTGTCACAGTTCATGCCCAACCAGGAAGCAGCACCTGGCAACAGGAGCAGTTTCACCGGCGTTATATTGAGTTGGAGGAACTGGGTCATGGTCGGTTCTCAGTTGTGAGGCGTGCCCGGGACAGAGTCACTGCCCAAGAGGTAGCCATCAAGCAAGTGATGGGAAGACGACAGGCACACGATGTAACTCAGGCAGAGTATGCTCTAATGGCTCGACTCCAGCACAACAATATTGTGAGGGCTCTTGCACTTTTTGAGAATGCCCCACAGCCCTTTATGGACACCATTGTGATGGAGCTGTGAGTGTTCACCTTCATTTGTCTGTACATATTGATGTCAAAGAATGACATACTGTCATACCTTTACTCCAAGACAAAATGTTACAGTCTAGTGGTTAATATTGTTTCTTTGTGTTAGTGAGTCTCAGATTCAATTTCATGCTTGCAAGCTGGCTCTACGTAGGCCACAACTTATTCTTTTAATCTTTCAATGCTAATATTTGTGGCTAAGTTAGAACAGTCTTTAAAGAACACTGGATGTAGTATGCATTCATATCCAGATTATGTACGAGGAGCATTCCATATATAATGCCTCCTTTTTTTTTAATGAAAACTGCAACAGATACAGAAAGCATAATAACACAGTTAAACAGAGCAAGATTTCAGCTACTTACAGTTATTTTTCCACATAATCACTACCATTCGTTATGCACTTTTGCCAGCGATGAACAAGAGCCTGTATGCCACGCCCATAAAAGTCTGCACTAGCAGAGGCAAACCACTTTCTTACAGCTGCAATGACAGCATTGTTGTCTGGAAAATGTTGCCCACGTAGTCCATCTTTCATAGGCCCAAAGAGATGGAAGTCTGAAGGTGCTAAATCGGGGCTATAAGGTGGATGAGGTAGGACAGTCCAGCCAAACTGGTATGGGGTCTAGCATTATTGTGTTGGAAGTGAAAGGTTGTCTGCTTCTCTGGCCTGACTTGGGAAATGCAGGCTTTCAGCTTAGTCAGCGTTGTCTTCTAGCATTCAGAATTGATAGTCTCACCAGGCTCCAGGAAATTCAAGAAAATCACACTCCACCTATCCCAAAAGACCATGCACATCACTTTTCCTGCCAATGGCTGTGTCTTGAACTTCTTTTTTCTTGAGGAATCTGAATGTCGCTACTCCATGAACTGTCTTTTGGATTCCGGCTCGTAGTGGTGACACCACATCTCATCTCCAGTGACAGTACTGTCGAGAAACTTGTCACCTTCAGCCTCAAACTGGTGAAACAGGACCTGACAGACTTCCATTCGAAGAGTTTTGTGGTCCTGTGTAAGCATCCGCAGGACTCACCTGGAAGAAACTTTGCGATAATCCAGCTTCCTCAACATTGTTTCCAATTCATTACAGCCGATATTAAGCAATGCACACAGTTCCCTGGTTGTTATCCGCCTATCTGTATGGATGAGTTGATCGAGGCACTGTTCATTGTGAGGAGTGGCAGCTGAGTAGGAACACCCAGGGCGCTGTTTGTCGTGCACATTAGTTTCGCCACTGTTGAAACGCACTACCCACAGCCTCACTGAGCTGACATCCACTGTATCATCTCCATACACCTTTAGCATGCGTTGATAGATGTCAGTGGGTGCAATTTGTTCGACAGTGAGAAATTCAGTAACACATCTCTGTTTTGTACACACTTGTATGTCAGACGCTATTT